CTCTCTCTCTCTCTCTCTCTCTCTCTCTCTCTCTTTCTTTCTTTCTTTCTTTCTTTCTTTCTTTCTTTCTTTCTTTCTTTCTTTCTTCTGTCTTCTCTTTTCTATCTCTTTCTTTAGATTTGTCTTTTACTCTATGTAAAATCCTCAGTAAATATAAATAAAAAAAGAAAAGAATATATCTCCTATTGAATTTTAAGGTATTAATTCATTAGGCGCACACACACACACACATACACACACACACACAAACACACACACTGCATTAATCTTAGAGGAACTGAGGGCAATCAAGCCGTGGCTGCAAGCAGCTGTTAGCTGCGTGGAGTCTGGTCACCTGAGATCACACTACCAAAATTCAGTAGCAAAATAATTCAATTTTGGTAACATGTTTTTTTTCCTGTCTCCCCTACCCCCAAAATAAGGGCAGGAATTGAGATGGGAGGCCTCTGTCGAGTTCCATTTCCTCCTGTAAATTCACCCAACCTCCTCCAAATGCCCTCAAATAATGCAGTGAGCTTTGTGCCACTGAGTTTCTGTGGCACAATGTTGTGCTGTGTTTCAGAGACTGGGGTTGTTGTTGTTTTTAATGTTAGAAATAGGACTGCTATGCCGCCCAGAGGCTCAAGGTCCCATTTCCTCTCTTAAAAGTCTACAACAATTCCCACAAATTGACTACACCATTCTGGTGACTCACTGCATCTTTAAATGGCCCCCAGTGGCCCTTCAGATGGCCCAGAAGCTTAGATGTGGCCTTTGCTTGCACCTCTGGCAAGTGGATCACTTGCATGATCAGTGATTCCTCTTCATAACAGTACGTCAATGTTCATTGGAGGCTATCATAGCAAGGAGAATATATCATTGCCGTTTCTGTACCTATTGGCGAGGGGTTTAAGAAAGATGCTGGATCTGGATTTGTTTGCATTTTCAAAAATTACATATTACCTATCTTTAGATGGGATTTTCCTTTTTCAGGCTGGGAAGTTGCTGGTGACCACATCCAGAGTGGAGCAGGAGGCACCGATAATGACTATCTCATTGTGAATCTTCATGTACCAGGATTTAAGTAAGTGTAAATAATGTAATTTCTGATGTGTGTGGGAAGGTGACTCTGCCCCAGTCCTTTAGTGCACTCTAATACGGACCTGTTGAATCTGGATGTGATGCAGCGGGGCGTCCTTCCTACACTCTGGTTTTTTGTGCATTTCGTAGATAGAAGCATAATTTCTGGAGCTGAACCTTGAAAAAAGAAAAGAGCAGATAACATACACACGTGGCAATACATGCATATATAAGAGGAAGGAACTCTATAACATTAACAAATCATTGAAGGCACCAAATGGTTTCTATAAGCTAAGGCTATAAATAAAAAATGTGCTACTGCCTTTGAAACACCTGGGGATTGATCGTTTAGTAAGAAACCTCAGTCTCCTCATCATGAGTGTCATTTATCAGACTCAACAGCTGGTGTATTAACTCTGATCGCCAATGAGAGTACAGTGAGCACTTTAAAGGATGTGTGAGTCAGACTTAACGTTTGTGTTTGAGCAAATACATACTCAATCTTCATATGGAAAGTTGGCATATTGACCAGCTGTCGCCCTAGTAGGAAGAGCATCTATACGTACTGTATATATGTATGTATTGTCACATGCTATATGTATACAGTATATCAATTTTAAATGTATTTTAAATTTTTGTGACTTGTTCTCAGACCATAAATAAAGAAGAACAAATAACTATTTTTAATAGCAGGGTTGTAAGGCTCTTGAAAGGGGGAGGGAACTGCCTGTAAGATAAATGGGGAAGAAAGAAAGAAGAAAAACTAAAAGAATAGCTTTGGATTGGCAAAAACAAAGGATTTCAGAGTGCAGGGTCAAGTTTGCTGGTGAACTTCAGGCATTCCAGGAAGAAGCTAGCATCTCCATTACATGGAGCATGGACATTACGGTCAGTTTCCACTGAGGCACAAGTGTCTAATTCTTGTGGGGATTCTTAGATGGAAGCTGAATTAGGTGAATCTTGGTTTGATCACTTAGCACAAGTAGCAGATACATAGGAATCAGGATCTTTTGACATGCATGAATTCTATCTTAATTTTACAAAGAGGTAATAAAGAGTCTTTATTAGTGTAGTCAAAATATTAAGAAAATAGAACAAAAATAGCCTGCATGTCAACCCCCCCCCTTTTTTTTTTTATAAGAAATCCATTACAGAGTTTTAGAAGAGCAATGTAATTGTCAGAGTTTGCACGCTCAGTTCCCAATTCCAGTAAACCTGGAGCCGGTTTGTTTCCAGTAAAGATCCTGACAGTAATGGGCAGCAAAATGGGTTTTCCCTTTCTTTGTAATTAAATTGCAAGTTGTTTTGAAATGGCGGTGGCTTGGAGCACCTTGTAACCACTTCGCTTCTCCTCTGTTGAACAGGCCTCCCACATCAGTAACAGGAGTGATGGGCTCAGAACTGGGACGGATCACTTTTGTGTTTGAGACCACTTGCTCTGCAGATTGTGTGCTCTACTTCATGGTGGTAAGTGAGGCTCCACCAAGAACAGCTGGGTTTGGCATTTCTCCGAGCACTTATTCCTAAGCAGGAACCTTGTTGATGGCAGTGATGATAACCCTCCCTTCTGTGTTGGTGGAGGAGGAAGCATCACCATTTCTGACCTCTGCCATCAGCCCTAGATAAGCAACTTTGACATCCCTTCTTAATAGAGAACTCATCACTGTTATTAAAATTTATTCAGCTACAGTAGTTGAAGTGATATTATGATGAGCCCAGCCTTCATCCTGCAAGTAGGTACATTCCTTATCAAAAGCTGTTCCATTGCTTCTTGTCCTTGCAAACTTTGATTCCCAGAATTCTCAGCATGGAACCTTCTGGCTGGGAAATTCTGCAATTCTGAAGTTGAAGCCCACACATCTGGAAGTTGCTCAGGTTGGGAAATATTGAGCTCTTCCTTCATTAATCTTAACAGGTGGAGGGGTTACATGCAAGGAGGATGTAGTCCACCCACTCTCCACTGTGGATGGCTTGGCTTGTTTTATTGTGTGGTGAACTTCATATTTGTGACGTCTTTAGCTTCTGAGATATCAGCGCCTCAATTTTTCTACAAATACGGCTGTCTTGAGCTACCTGGTTGCCATACCTCAACTTTTCTAGCTTGTAGGGAAAATGCGTCAAGGTCTAAACACTTGAGGAGACTGACTAGGTGATAGTTTCAGCAGCTTCATGTGCAAATAAACCTGCTTCTCCACAGCTTTTCCAAACGGCAATATCTCACAGGGCAACTTAAATGTTTTTGTACAATATGCTTGGTGAGAATTATCTGTAGTTAAGTTTGTGTGTTTGTGTGTGTGTCAGCCTGTTTCATTACTTTCATGGTAATCCCAGAAGGTTCAGAAACCTGGTTAATTCAGTAAGCTGGTTAAGTGTATTCTGTGAATGCAGCTCATTATGTTACCTTACAAGGGAGAGAAGATTCGAATAGGGGTTCCTCTTCCATAGAATAGGCAAAGTCTTCCGTTTGGCACAACTGGGATTTCTGGACCCTCCCCTGCCAGCATTATCTAACATCCACAATTCTGCTACCTAACATATCCTTACTGTTTTTTGTTGATTGGTTTTCAGGACATAAATAAAAAGAGCACAAACGTTGTGGAATCATGGAGTGGAGCTAAGGGGAAGCAGTCATACGCCCATATAATTTCCAAGAATGCTTCATTTACATTCACGTGGGCTTTCCAGAGAACCAATCAAGGGCAAGATGTAAGTCTGACAATCATTTCAGTGAAAATAAAGAGTTTTTTTAAAAAAAAAAAGCTATGAAGCAAACTTTGGTTTGCAGTTTTCAAAGAGTTAGCTGATTCTGATCCATAAGTAGCAGGAGTGATACAATTACTGTAATAAGAGTATTACCCAGGGGAATCTGCAGGGCATAGGGTAAAAAAGTCAAGATGGCAGCCATGGCCATGCAGTCAAAGCCCACCCCCTTATTACTTTCTTCAGTTGCTCAGTCGCAGCTGTTGCCATGTTGACCCTAACCCTGTAGATGTCCCTAGTATTGTACTGTGAACAAAGGTATTGTCTGATTTGTTCAAAATAAACTCTACAACTCTTCTTTCAGTTGCAATCTCCAGGTTTCTGCAATTGTTTCAGTTTACAAGGCCTGTGTGGGATGGTAACCTTCAGCTATAACTCAGATAATTTGATTGGCAAGCATTCTGACAGCTACGGTTTAGAAAGCTGAAATCGTATTAGCTGTTTCTTGCTGGACTGTGCAAGTTCCATCAATCAGTTCCTGAAGCTTCATTGCTTATAAATATATTGTACTTATTAAATTTGAATATTACCATTCACGCAATTACCTTTTGGCCTATACTTCACTGAAGGTTAAGTGATCCAAACTGTATTTTAATATACTAAAAATTGCTGCTGAAATTATCCATCATAATTTAAATATACTTATGGTTTTAGTGGACAAAGAATAAATATGTAGGCTGAATGTCTCCCAGACTCCTTTTCCCATTTCTTGTAGAATAATTCATCCTTCCTGATCTTGTGCACATTCAAGATGTTTCAAAATAGACCTCCAAAACAGAAACTAGAAATCTTAAGCCGGGGCCTTTATAGTCAGTATGGTTGTTTTTGACAAGCACTGAAGATGTTACCTAGTCGGGTAACAAAATGTTTGCAAGCTCAGAGAACAAGGACTCCACAGTTCAACCCTGAGCTACAGATATTCTCTTCTACTGAAGCTAAGTAAAGTCTGCCTTGGCTAGTACTTGACGGGGAGATAATCTAGAAAATCCAGGGCTGTAGCCTAGGCCTGGGAAGTTGAAAAATAGTCTGGAAGAAGAAGTAGCAAATCAAAAAAGCTTGACTCGAAGGCTTAAAGCGAGAGCAGCACACACCATACCTATGAGTTTTTTCCTTGGTTTCTGCTAAGGATCCGAGCTGTATTGGACTTTCATTAGATTTTTTTTTTTTTAATGAGAAGCTGATAAGGTGCAAAGCAAAGTACCAGCCTATAGTATCATCTTGATTCACCAGAATGCATTGGGGCCCCATCCACATTCATTGTTATCAGCCTGGAAGAAGACAGAGCTCATCCCAGAGATCTACAGAGAATGGAAGAAGCAGTTCACTGTTTTGCTTATGATGTTTTATGGCTGGTCACTCTGGCAGCTGTATTTGGACAAATAGATAAAGAAGTCCCCATGATACTGTATCAACATTTCAGTTGTGCCTGTGGGCCAACAAGGTTGCCTCGTGTCCAGAAGATATAATTATTTTCTTTCTTCAAATAGAAAAAGAACAGCATGGTTTTCCCACCAAAAGAGAAGTGGAAAATCCTTTTCCCTAATTTCAGAGACCAGCAAATTGCTCTGGATTATAGACTGAAATGGAATTACTGAAGTAGAGGTGTTGGAAAACAGCTCTTCATTTATCTTGACTGTAGCATTTCTTAGATGATGATGTTGATGATGATGATAGTAGACAAGATAAAATAATGTTATATTTAATAGGTCTTAGTGGTAGCCACTGTGTTCTTTTTTCGGACTATTTCTTTTCAGAACAGGAAGCTCATCAACGACGTGGCCAAGATCTACTCGATTACTGTGACCAATGCAGTTGATGGTGTGGCCTCATCCTGCCGGGCCTGTGCTATTGGTTTAGAACAGTCTGGCTCCTCCTGCATCCCCTGCCCTATTGGGCACTACATAGAGAAGGAAACCAACCAGTGCCAAGAGTGTCCTTCCAATACATACCTCTCTATCCATCAAGCCTATGGGGAAGAAGCCTGTGTCCCTTGTGGACCTGGAAGCCAAAGCACCAAGGTAACTGGGCCCATCAAAAATGTTGGGCTTTGGACATAAGCAGGACTAGGAAGGATCAGATCAGTAGCCTGTCTAGAACAGGATGTGTCCAGTCCTACTCCATCACTATAGGTACTGTATTACATTTGATGAGGGTTTAGAATCAAAATGAAACTGGGATGCTGTTGGCATGGAAAGGGGCTAGAACATTTGGCTCTACCTCTTCTGGTCTCATCATAACAGGCCGAATAAATACTCCAGGCAGCTTGCAAGGGATCAAAATGGAGACCCCTATCAGTTAGTAACCATGATTGTCTGTTGCGGTGTCAAACCTTTCCTTCTCTAAAGCAGAAAGTGCTGTAGGTTCTCCAAGCTGGTTGTCCTCCAGATGTGTGGATTTCAACCCATTCAGCCCACATGGGCATGGCTAAGAATTCAGGGACTTGAAATCCACATTCAGGAGAAAGCTCTTTTTCCATATACCAGCTACTAACACAGATAATATGCAAAGATGTCACAGGAAGCAATTCCAGATGACAGTTGCTGCAAGATTCTTTGTGTAAACTACAACCTGTTATAAAGTTATAAATGCAATAGTATTTCCTGGGGTTGGCTGTTCATGTTGCAAAGGGACAAGAAGATTAGAGATTTCTGTTCAGTGCTTTCCATGTTTAATGCCATGTTTGGAGCATCTTGTAGTCAGAGGACTACTGTGTATAGAATTTGCATTTAGCTGTCAGGCTGAATAGCCTTTGATAAGCTTGTGTTTATGCATCTGTCTCATCCCTTTAAAAAGCATTAAAAGTCACAATTAAATGTGTGGCTACATCATTTCAACCTGTCCATCTGTCACAACCTTTGCAAGAGAGTTGACATTTGATGTTTGATGAACCCAAGAGATCCTTGAGCCAGAGCAAGATGACCAACATCCTCCTCCTTCCACCCCGCGGTCAGATAAACCACAATTATTCTGATTACTAAAAACAATTTTTTTTCATAGAATTCAAGAGTGTAGGACATCGAATTCAGCCTCCTACATGCTCAGTGCAAGAATCTAAATTAAAGCATCCCCAACACACAACTGTCTGTTCTCTTCTTGATCACATCCAGAGAAGGGGAACCCACCACCTCCCTGATAATTGATTCCACTTGCCAACTGCCTTTACTTAAGGAAGCTTTTTTCTAATGTTCATTTGGAATCTGCCTTTCTGGAACTTAAACTTCTTATTCTGTGTATTAACTCTAAGGTGATAGAGAATAGGTCTGGATCATCTTCTATGTGACATCTTTCCAGGGACTGGAACAGAGCTACCATATTCCTCTTTTCTTCTCAAGGCTTTGCCTGGTCATGTCAGAAGCTTTCAGGAGCTCATTCCAGATCATCTCTCTTCTCTTACTGCAAAGGACACTTTGAGCTGATAATAGTCTAATCTTTGGGCAACATCAGGATAGGGAACTTTCAGATATTGCTGAACTACAATTCCCGTAGGCCCAGCCCCAGCATGGTGAATAAGAAGGAAGGGATGCTAGAAGTTGTAGCTTATGAATGTCTGGAAGGCTGCAGGTATCCCTTTTCTGATCTACCCCATTATAATGATTATTTGTGTGATTTGTTTCCTCCTAATCTTAGTTTATAACTTCATTTTCTTTACCTTCCCTACAGCTGCTCACTTCTATTTTGTTTTCTTTTCTCAGGACCGTTCTGCATGCTGTAGTGACTGCACGTTCTCCTATATCAAGAACAACCAAAGCCTGACTTATGATTTTAGTAGTCTGAGCAGAGTGGGCTCATTAATGAATGGACCAAGCTTTACAGCAAGAGGCACAAAATTCTTCCATTTCTTCAATATCAGCCTGTGTGGACATCAAGTAAGTGTCTGTCTTTCTAAGATCAGAATTATCATGTCAAGTATGAGGCAATTTTATCTGATTGGACCTAGGAGGGTTAGGGTTTTCTGTTGTGGTGTCTGCCCTTTGTAATGATCTCCCCTCCTGTAATTCAGTTGACCTGACCCTTTTAGCATTTAGGAAGATTCTAAAAACCTGGTTTTCCCCATGGAAGTTGAGCCAGGATGACAGATAAACCTGTTTTTGGGAGGTGGAATGTGTGTTTGAAGGATCCTGACTATATGCTGTTGTTATGTTGATTTTTGTTTGGTTCCTGCCATGTTGTTGGTTTGATGTCCAATGCCCAGAGTTCCCATCATGTGAGTTAGGTGGCCATATAAATCCAAACAAACAAACAAACACATAAATAAGGCTAGTCATCTTACTGGTATCTCCAGCCAACTATTCCAAAGGGTACCAGGCAGAATTGGAAGAAGGAAATGGGATAGGGACTGTGTTTGTTGATCAAATTGGTTGATTCTTGACCCTGTTAGCATAATATCAGATCCAGGTAGGGAGCTGTGGTTTGACTAGTGTTGTTTGTATTTAATGTGCTATGTAAACACAGCCACAAAATGTCTAAAAATATAAAGTAAATGACCTTAAACATTGCAAGAATGTGGAGAAGAGCTCAAGGATAGTCATTGTATCATATATTTTCAGTTCTATGTTTGGTTTTCTTACTAATTTGGTTTGATTCTGGGACCTTTTCTTGTCCAAGTAGCTTCATGTCCTGTTTTCTGCATATTTTCAACCTATACACCAAAGGGTAGCTCAGATATTCCTTGTGAGAAGCTTGGCATGAGCTTGGGGTTGTATTCCCTATGGAAATCAGATAGGTAACTTGGGAGTATTCCTAGGTTCATCTTTGTCGCTAGAGATTCAGAAATAACTTCAGTGTCTTGGGGTGGATTTGGCCAACTTCAACTAGTCTACTGGTTATGACAATTCTGGGCTGGGGTACTTAGCCAGTGTAATTTACACTCTTCTCATTTCTTGTACTGCAATGCTCTGTACATGGAGTTGTCCTTGAAGTTGTCTCAAAGTTGTAACTAGTGCAAAATGCTTTGGCTAGATATGTTAGGAACAGTGTGAGATTTTATAGGACTCTGCAATCACTTCAAGATGATGGTAATGAAAGTTAAAACTCTAAATGACTGGAGACCCCATAATTCCTGTACCAACAAATACTTCTCTGTATCCTAATGTTGTAAAATGGTATATTATGTGGAATTGTGTATGTGTGTGTGTACAAGAGAGAGAGAGAGACTGTAGCTTTTTGTTGGTGCCAAATTAAGACCCAAGGCATTGCAATGTTATTGATTTTAAATCAGTTAGTTTGTATGATTATTTTGTGTTTTTATCTTAGTGGGTTAGAAATATTTTCATAATAAAGAAGCGTTCTAACCTGGTATGTCCAGAAGTAGATGGGAACACTTTTTTGCCACTTGTTTATGAGAAAGCATAGACAGCCAGTACAGCGGAAATGAATGTCCTGTTACTAAGTGCCAGTTTTCCAATCACATCATTTGGAAGTGGAGTGCCTGACACAGAATCCCTCCATGATCCACTAGAGTAACTATTCTTACCAAGTGGGGAGTGATTCTCAGACTGTGGTCCACGGACCATCAGTAGTCTCTGGAGGTCCACCAGGTGGTCCTCTACTACCTCACCATGTTCACTACCAGTCAGCTGGTTCATAAATATGAATCTATGATTGAAAACTGGTTCATTAAAGTATACAAGTGATAGTACTAAATAGTACTAAAATTTATGAACTGGTCACTTAAAATCATGAACTCCCATGCTCTTAAAGATGAAACATGAAAGGAGGGAGTGTTTGTTTAACTGGGTGATTGCCACATTTTTTGAATGTTTATTTGGTGGTCCACAGTTGTAAACACCATGAGAAATGCTAGTACATGTCTCTTAGATTTGGGCTGCAAAAACCAGACACTTAGAGAAAAATCTAACCCTCTGCTACCATCTAGTGGTTGTCTGTTTTTTTGCAGCCCAGATTTAGTAGCCATATTATTATCTCTTTTTACTGTTCTTCTTACTGTCAACTCATTAAAGTAGCCACATCATTAATGTGGCTGTTAAAGCAGCTGCCTCTTTGTTGTCTTGAAGCCTGTGAAAAGAATGGCTATTTTAAAGAATAACATGAAAGTACCTTTGATTAGAGTTTTGAGATTGTCATTCCATAACAAAATCATTGCACATTATTGTTGGTCATGTTGCAAATGTGTTTCTTTTTCTGGCAGATTTGACACACAGATTGAACAAGTTCTGCTCTGCTCTGTAGCAGGAGCCTTCCCTTCATGAAATGATTTCTCATTATCTAAGATCAGCCATGAAACTGATCCAGGAAGGGTTGTTTCCTGTTTTACTGGTCCCGTATACACCATCTCATGGCAATATCTGAAAGTTTTATGGCTCTATCCTGCTATTTTTACTCACCATGTGATAGCTTTTTGGACTAGATGGCACCCACTGACTCCTAATTATTTGGGGAAGAAATGAAAATAGCCACAGCCTATGAAGATAATAAAACAGTGCACAATGTCTATGTCCTCGGCAGAGATCTCTTGAGAATTTGGCTATTTTCATTTTTTAAAATTATTTTTTGATGCTCATGACATTGTGCAAAATGGCACATTAGAGCCCGCCATAGGAGCAGCTGGTTGAGAAATAGCACCAAACCAGCTAGGGGAGCAATAGCATCAAATAACATTTGAAAAGGTGAATATTGGTGCAAAGTGTTCTTGGGGAACATTTGGAAATGTTCGCCATCCCAACTGGCATTTTCAGTGTGAAAATCAAACTGGAAGAATATGCCATACCGGCCTGTTCAGTTTTGTTGCTGTTATTGTGAAGTGGCAAACGGCTCTGGCATATTTAAAAATGATACAAAATCTGGCAGTATTTGTGCAATAGAAAGAATGCATCCATTTATATGCAAGACTCACGAGGTTCACATTCTTCTAAATCACTGTTAAGTGGCCATCTCATTATCTAAAAGGCAAATTACACCTCATTGTGCTGTGCAAGAAAGCAACATGGTTCCTAGCTCACGTGCACACGCTCTCTCTCTGACTTTCTGATTATCTGTGAAGGAATCACCATGTTTCTTTCACAGCAATGCAGCTCCATTTTTGCAGATCACTTCCTGAATTTGTCAGCAAATTAGCATGAAATTGTAGTGAGAAGTATCTGACCTCCGGTTTGAAATATGTTGAGAAATTTGCCATGAAAGCTACACAGGCACCCCTTTTATCCCTTTTAACTTCCACAGGGAGAAAAGAGAGCAATTTGTGCAGACAATATAACTGATATCACGCTGAAGGATATGGTTGCTGAGTCAGAAGATTATTCCAATGTCGTGAGGGCTTTTGTCTGCCAGTCGACCATCATCCCACCTGACAGCAAGGGTTTCCGCACTGCTTTGGCGCTCCAGTCCAACAGCCTGGCTGACGTGTTCCTTGGTAATCTTCTGCTTGCTCTGATACAAGAGCGAACAGCAATAAGGCTGAGGGGACTGAGGGGAATATGATGTCGTGGAGCCTAACCCAACAGAATTGTTTGCAGAACCTTGAGGATTTGCCATGGGCAGTTTTTACAAGTCTAAAGACATGTGTTCCGTCAAGGATGGCATTCATAGAACAAATGATATCACTTTGTCTAAAGTAGGAGCTGCAGCACGGTGATAGATGCTTTCCATCATGACCAAGAGAGAGCAAAGTCTTCCTTGACTTGTATATGATCAGTTATGTTCTTGGCAGGAGCTAAACTTTCAGATTTGCTTAATATTTGGATGAGAGATTATTAAGAAATCCCAGGGCTGTAGGCTAGATTTCAGTGCTGGAGGAAGGCAGTGGCAGAACATTCCCTTGTTATTGCCAAGAAAAGTACTCAGACACGTCCATATAGTCAGCAGGAGTTGAGATTGATTTGTGGGATTTATTTTTACCTTTCCATTCCATTGCAGCACCTCAAAAGAATCCTGTATTGCTATTTTTGCCACACACATCCCCCCCTCAATGGGAATAGGTGGGTTCCTTTCTTGGATCTGGAAGCCATTTCTCAGGTTCCCACTCCAGGATCAAATCCTGATTTCCCATTCCCTATGGCCTCTATTGAAATTTAATACTACCAGCATAGTAGATTTCCAGGATGGAGCATCGTCCATTTGAGATGTTCTTCAAGCTTGGAGATAGCCCACCCGCTTCTATAATATGTTGGGCAGCAGGTCTGGTAACTGTATCTTACAGAAGATGCAAACATTCCCCTATTATATAATTAACTTATTTCTGATACTTTTTGTACAGGATTATCAACTAATGAAAATCTCTGTTTAACCAAATCTCTTTTTGATTTTAATGGATTACTGTATTAATAAAATCAGTAGTCACATCATCCATTCTCAATTCAGGGGCTCTAAAGACCTGAAGGAAGTGAAACAGCTTGCAGTTTTATAATATATAAAAGGACTACCCTTATTGTTAGAAGAAAAACCTTATTTTTTTACATTTTTTGTTTTTTTTGTTTTAGTTTTCTATACTTAATTGCTAACAAATTAGACTCCAAATTACTTTTTAAAGTAAGCTTCTCTTATTCCATATGCCTCCGTTGCTTAAGGGGTATCATTACAGATTCATCCATGGAACTTCACAGCTTAATTAGTGTAACCAAGTAACATTCATAAGCATCTCCCCTTCTATGAGCCAAAATCTGCTACTCATTCACAAAAAATATAGCTGTTCCTCATAAAGCTAAAGCCTTGATGGAGTTGAATTTGACTCTTGGTGACTATATTCTTGTCCTTTTCTTGGCAACAATATGCAAATAGTTTGCCACCATTTTCATCTGGGATGTTTTTCAACTTCCAGTCTAGTCTAAATGCATGCACCCATTTAATTCTTCCATGTAATCTTGGGGAGTTTTATAAGAAACCAGAAGATACAGTATATCAAGTTTTGAAACATCTCTTAGACAAATTGCATTATAACAAATCAGGCATCTCTGCCTGATAACATTTTGTGGACTATATATTCACCCTCATTTAAAGAGTTTTTCCCTCCCAACTCCCTATAAATTCTTTCAGGGGATGATTTTCTTTTCTTCTTTGCAGGAGCAACTGTTGAGACTACACTGGGAAATATTAATATTAAGCCAGAAATGTTTCAGCATTCTGAAAGAAAAATACCTGATGTGCATTTCTATTACAAGTAGGTAGAAGAATAAATCACTTGATTTTTCATACACCTTTACTATTTACAGAGGGAATGTAAAAATTCAGAGAAACTTACATTGTTGTCAAGGACCAGAGTTAAATAGTCAGGAGACACCATAATTTATTTTGACCATGTGTGTTATAACCCCACTAATTCCATCTCTCTTTTTTCTCTCTTTTTGGCATCATATGAAATATTATATATGTGCTTCTTGTCCTTTTTCTGTAGGATTCAGCCGTTCTTCCCAGTCAACTAATTCTGTTCTTCCTCTTCATATGACTGCATTCTGAATTTCTGCAAAGTGATTGTCTCATGGCACAGTTAAAGGACATTCTGCTCCCTAGAATAGCCTTGTCTGTTGCTCTGAGAAGCTGAGAATTTCTGGAGCTTGTAGCCTTAACCCACCTAGAGGTCACCTGGTTGGGAAAAGATGTCTTGGGTAATGGACAGACAGTGAAAAGTGACTGGGAGATCATACTCTTCAACCTTCTCCCATGGTCCCTCTCCAGATTTTCAAAAATATTTATTATTAAATGTACATTCACCTGTATTGCCAAGTCTCAAATAGCTTGGAAGCTAAGCAGGGTTAGATCTGGTTAATCCCCAAATGGGAGACAGGGCTGTAGGCTAGACTGGGAAATTAAAAAACAACAACACACATCTGGAAGAATCTGGGAAACATCATTTCCATACTGTTACCAATAAAACTGCTTGGATGTGTAGATGAAGCCACCAGGGGTCAATCTTGCCTTGAGGGTATTTTTACCTTATTGCCAAATCTCAGAGTTGCTAATAAATATTATAAAAACTGGCAATGACTTCATAAAGCATCCAGCCATAGCTTGATTTGCAGCTGAGAAAAGCATGGGAGAAGACAAGAAAAATGAAGCCGTAAAAACAGCTCATTTTTCACTGGTGGAGGCAGAGCTGTCTGTCTGCATAACATCTTGAATTCTTTTTCTCATTTCTACACAGGTCTTCAGGAGTTACAGCTACTTGTGAAAATGGGCGTGCTTCTGTTGTGACAATGAGGTGCAATCCCACAAAACTTGGTCAGGGAGAAATTTCAGTTCCCAGGTATATGTTATGATTAGAAACACAAGTAGAGACCTGTCATTAGATCTCCCTCTTCCTGAATAATTTAATATGTTTCAGATTCATTTGCAATTCTTTCAGTATGTTATCAGAAGAACCACCTCTATATTTGCTGTCACCTTCACTTTAGGTGAAATCTGGAAAAACTCTTGAGCAGGGGTTCTCAACCTTTTTGTGCCATGGATCCCTTCAACAGTGTGGCAAAACCTATGGGCCCCTTCTCAGAAAAATGTATTTAACTGCATAAAATAAAATACATAGATATAGATTGTATTACAAAGAAAACCAATTATGCTCACAGTGTCAAAATATTAAAAATAATTCAAATAATTTTAGATAGTGAGATTTATGACGGCACTGAATGAATGGTGCTTATGACTGGTCCTTGGAGTTGCGGCCATCCCAGCACCCCCACGGTCATGTGATCATGATCTGGGTGCTTGGCAACCTGTTCGCACTTACAACCAGTTGCCACGTATCCCGCGATCATGTGATCGCCATTTGCAACCTTCCCTGCCAGTTTCCCCAGAAGGACAATGGGAAAACCAGCAGGGAAGGTTACAAGTTGCTGGGGTAAGTCTCCCCCAACCACACATCCTCACCCAGCACCTCTGCATTCCCGCTGCACTGGCCACTTGCACACCCTTTGCACCCTTCCCGACCCATGCCACACCCTTGCACACCCTCACAACCTTTGCCATGCCTCTCATGCACCCCCTCATACCCTCACACACCCTCCCAGACCCATACTGCGCCTCTCATGCATCCCCTTGCACCCTCACACACCCTCCCCAACCGTTGTCATATCTCTTGTGCACCCCCACGTCCTCACACCCCCATATGCACCCTCATGTACCGTCCCTGACTTTCACGCACCCACATGCACCTTCTCCAATCCTTGCTTCACCTCTCACGCACCCCCTCGCACCCTTGCGCACCCTCCCCAACCCATACTGCAACCTTGCATACTCCTGCGTGCCCCCTCCCTCCCTCCCTCCCCCACCTGTCAGTAGCCACTTACCTGCCTGCTGGCCTGGGACTTGCAACTTCCTGCTGTCTTCCCCACTGACTTTGGTTGTGGGAAGCTGGCAGGAAGTTGTCTCACCTAACGACTGTGGGATTCGGTTAATGATAGCAACCTGGACTGCAGGGATTGCTGACACTAAGCGATGTGGTTGTGCTTTATGACTGCATCACTTAGCGATAGAAATTCCAGTCCCAATTGCCATCACAAGTCGAGGAGTATCTGTAGTGAATGAAAAGCTAAATTACAGTGAGAAGTTAATGAAAATAAAGGTAAACTTTTTCCCCATCCAAGTTCACCAATGCCCTGAAATCTATCCACAGACCAACAAAGGATCCATGAATGCCATTTTAAGAACCTCTGCTCTAGAATATCATGCTTATATTCTTCTTCCTAACAAATTTCACTCTTAATCTGTAGAATTTTTGTTTATTTGTTTGTTCACTTAGAGAGGATCTGCTGAATTTGACCTGTAGTTTAGGTTGGACCAGGTGAGACCCCTTCCTTTATATAGTTTCCCTAACCCTAACTCTTTAACCATCTGTAAACTAAGCTATTAACAGTGTATGGATTGCAAAAGAGCAGCCTCTGGATGAATCCAGGTGTGCATGCTGCTAACTCAGAAACAAAAAAAGAGGAGAAGCTGTGCATTGGAAATTTGAATTCAGCAGGATCCCTTGTTGGAGGATGTGCTGAAAGTGTGCTGAGTAACTAAGTAGGAGACACATCCCATTAAAGAAGTAGAGTGCTCATAATATATTTATGTTGGATGCAGGAGATTAGTTTAGCAACAAACTACTGTTTTGCATTTTCAAAACATCATTAATGTCCAATTTGGGAATGTATGTGTTTTTGTGGGAGCATGCATTGATGGTGCTATGGGCAGCAGCCTCTTTGAGAACCAATTAAGTTAACTTTCTTTCTTCTGATTGTATCATTCTAACCCACCCAGCATTTCTTCTCTAGTTCTTGTCCTGCAGGTACTTGTGATGGATGTATATTCCACTTCTTGTGGGAAAGTGCAGAAGCTTGTCCCATGTGCACAGAGCAGGACTATCATGAGATTGAGAGTGCTTGTAAAAAAGGACACCAGGTAATTAACTGGTTACATACTGATGTGTGGTGGAAAAAGTTTCAGTCTGCAGTTGCAACTCCCAAGAAGTAGAGAAACAGAAAAGGGAGGGAGGGAGGGAGGGAGGAAGGAAGGAAGGAAGGAAGGAAGGAAGGAAGGA